GTGGGGTGAACGATGGGAAGAGGGAGCCACCAATTTACAGGAGCTGAATTAGTAAAACCGCCATGCAGCTCGTTCTAACTTGTCTTTTTTCCCTCCTCAGCTTCAAACTTGCTGGTAAGTGGTAAATTACTTCCAGATTTAAAAAAAAAATCTCCCTTACGGAAATTAACTCATATTATGAAAAACTGAATCTTAAAAAAATCAATAAGTTTTTATTACCAAAGCAAGTTTAGTGCAGAGCTGTAAATTATGAAAAGAACTACTCAGTTATCTTAAACGTGCTCCAAGTTAGTGGGGAAAAAACGGGCGGAAAGAAAGAGAGAGAAATCCTAAATTAAAGCAGGATAGCGATATCGGGAAAACGGGGGAGACGCTTTGAAAAACTGGGCAATGTCAACACCGTAATTCCTTTATCGGTTCGTATTAAAAAGCGTCTCCCTTTCTCTTTTTGCCCGAGAGAGCCCTGATAATCGTTTAACGACGGATTACAGGGTTTTAATGGAAAAACGATTGAAATCCTGATAATTCAGCCTAATTTAAACCTTTAAATCATAGCGGAAGGAATTTTTCATCCAAAGTTAATTTATACTAATTATCATGAAAATATGTTTTTTATTAAACTAGGAAAGTACATTATATATATATTTTTTTGCAAACTCAAAATTTGGTACTTTTTGGGGTATCGTCGTTACTGGACTGCTTTGTTGTTTCATGATTATACATGACAAATTGACGTACTCATAATGAAACTAACACAGTTATACAATACAAAACAATAAGGGAATAATACAATTTAGACAAAAAATATTTTAATTTTTGACTAAAAGATAAAATCTGTTTTAACTCCCTTTCTACAAATAAATGGATTAATGGAGCTGGCAAGGCGTAATTGGCCAACTGTACCAGCCATGATTAGAATGTATATATTCAAATAGGGTTGAGGGCACCCGAAAGTGATAATGTGACTACAGGGGATTGAATTTTGAGTTAGCTTCAATTTTCTTTTGGGCCCAAGATCAAATATTGATTTTTTCATTTTCATACGAAATGAGTTCCAGACGTTTTCGAACTAAAAAAAAAGACGTTTTGAACTATTTATACGATCTGATGGTGGATTCAACAAAAGATCTCATCCGTATATAATAAAAATACTTAGTATACACATATTTTTGAAACATAAAAAGCAAGTTTAATGACACCGTTTTATTCAGTCAAAAAGCATAGATTTTGATTTTCGGAAGGACGAGCACCACACGGTAACACGAGGTTTTTTCACGTAGCTAGTTGTTTGGAGCTATCTTTCTATGCAAATAAAGAAAGTATTATTTTTCACCTTTTCCAATTTGTAGGAATTTTTTGCTGAGCTGGTTGACATTTTCAAGGCGAATGACGTAAATTGCTCCCCGAACAAAAAAAATCATTTGTACTGATTCTGTCTACCCTAAAATATTTTAATACAAGGAATATATTAAGGTGGCCATTCATGATCGCTCCTAGCAGTCCAAACGGAGCGACGCCGTTCCAAAAACCACGTCAATGGCAAACTGAACTGTACACTGTACCTCTCTATCTACAACCCCATCTTCTCAAAATCCACCAAACATAACATACTTCACCTCCTTTTCCTCAAAAACCCATACCTTCCAGCTTTTTTGGGCTCTCTTCTCCGCCAGCTCTCGGAGTGAGCACACCCTCTATCGCCCGATCTCCCCAAAATGTTGCGCCATAGTAATTAACCACCGTGTAAGATCGCCCGGCTATTGCTTTCCTATGGACATTTATCGCCACGCGAATGTCCGCGTATTGACATTAGAATCGCCTCATCCTTAACTCCGCGTACATCCCATCTCCCGACTGCATGGTTCCAAACCTACCATCGCCATTTTCCCTTAATATCTCATCTCCCTTTATCCATCTACCATCATTATAATCCAACGAACGAATCCTCCATCATTTTCCCCTAAGACTCACGAGCATCGCCGCCTAGATTTCATCATCCGTCATCATCGTCATCGACGCTGCAGGAACCAGGCCTGTGCAATGGCCTAGTCATCGCCAAACAACTCACGATATCGCATTCCGAGACATTCACCGCTTTCCGGTCTTCATTGCCTGCAGAGGGATTCATTGCCTTTAGACCGTCATCGGTTTCATGTTTTCAATACGATCATCGGCCATCTGGTAAGCCATAGAAATTACATTAAACAGTGAGTCTTCAATTTCTCCTTTTGTTCATTGTTTATTCCTTCATTTAATTCTTCCTAAACTAACATCTCCTATCCAATCGGGAATTTTTCATTCCCGTTGGTGCCGAAACAATCTTGTTATTAATTTAAACTCCGGCGGTGTTCGCCGGCGCCATTTTGTATTTGGCTGTGGCGAACAATTGCAGTATTATTATTATTTTTCATTAATATTATTGTTTTCTGTACAATCATTTAACAATTTGTAAGTAGCGATCAATAAATGATATGGCAGGAACTTGACAAATCATGTGGTAGGGATGGGAGAGTTGGGATGTTGGAATGTCCAGTTTTTATGATTGACAGTTGAGGTTTAGGGTTGAGTTGTGAGGTCTAGTCGACTAGGAAGAGCTAGTGGATTGGTGTGGAAGTTGTGGACTCGAATATACTTCTGTCTGTCACAAACTGGATGTCTAGCTCATTGTGGATGGTTTGCCTAGTGACTAAAAGAGAGCGTTTAGGATGCGAAGGAGTCCTTTCGATTGAAAGGATTGGATTCTTTGGATTTTGGATGGCTTGGCTGAACCCCGCAGCGCGACTCCTTAATTCCAAATCTGTCTAATTAGCGTCTTGTATATTGTTCGTTTATTGGGTGTGGATTTGGTTCCAAGTAGGAGTCTGAGTGTTTGTATCTTTGGCTTAGTTCTTGTTGTTTATGTTTTATGTGTACGTTCCATACAAGTCTTCTGTCCAAGTAGAACGCAAAGTAGCGGATTGGGTTGGATGTGGAGATTAAAAACTGCTTGGGTTGCTTTTGCTGTAAGGATAGGGTCAGAATTTGAGGAGAGGTTTGCGGTGTCGTCCTCGAAGGTGCTATATTATAAGGAATGAAATTGCCGAAGAGGTGGCCAAAGTCTCCTCAGAAGTCAGGTACAATGAAGTAATAAACAGTGACCTCACGTCTTGTACAATACTAGATACTATGACCAAGAGAATGGAACAGCACAATAAATTATACGATTTAGTCATGTTTAATTCAATCATGAGGTATGATTAAATCATACAATGATTAATTTACTCATGACTAATTCAATCATGATTAAACTTCAATCAAAATTCTTAATCATGATTGAATTAGTTAGATTTTGCCCAACTCTGGCGACAATGACCAATTTACCAAAATCCAACAGACTCCGGATAAAAATTTTGAGATGAGAGTCGTGCTCAAGGCCGACCTTGAAAAAGTGTTATCATAAACGAAAACCAAAGTTACATAATTTTTCTACATGTCTATTTTATTACAATCAAGACCCCTCGATGGTGTATTTTCCAAATAATGTAGCAATCTCTCCTTTCAAGTGGAATAAATTTTAATTCAAAGAAATATTTTTTTATTTATTATATTCATCGGTTATGTAAACATATTTACTTTTCAAAGCGTAGCTTGTTCTAAGATTTTTTAATTTTGTTATATTATTATTATTATTGGGTTGTCCGGAAAATAATGCAGGATTTTAAGTTTTCATTAAAAAAAATCTATATAAAATATTCTGTTTACGTTTACAGGATTACTCATTT